GCAAAAAGGAGAAAAAAAAAACCGGTACCGGAACCGGCGGTGCCGGTAACGATTTTGGGGCACCGGAACCGAGACCGGATGTGGCGGTACCGGTGCCGGTTCTCGAAACCGTTCTTCCGTCCCGGTAATCGTCACGGTGCTCGGTACCGGCGGTACCGTTTCCGGTGACGATACCGAACCGGTACCGTGTCTAGGTCTAACCCCAAATGTACACCACCCTCTTTTCATCCACACATTTTTATTTGATTTTTATTTACTTATTTTTTTTTTGATTTTTTTTTGTCTTTTTAAGTGGACAAGGAGGGGGTGGGGGATATTTGGGGTACACCTTTGGTGTACCCCTAGCATTTTTCTTTTTCTTTTAGTCCAATAATCGTGTTTACGAGCTTTTGACGTATTGTTCCGCCATCGTGATGGGCCGATAGGGACATATGTGTTGCAAAAAATACGGCGGGAATAATTAAAAAAATAATTCGAACTTATAAAACGTCCGGATTTTGCCACAGAAATAAAACAAAGTAAAGAAAGTAGAAATCTTCAGGAAGCTCGAACGGAACTGGAGCAGAGCTCGATCTGGAACCTTGATGGGCGAGCAGAGACATTGGTCGGATGGTAGAGACGAGCCGGAACCGTACCTCGAACAAGAAGTTAGGAAAGCGGAGTCGCCAGAGCTTTCCTTAAGGTAGTATCGCCCGCCTCCCGCACTAGCAAACGTGGGCAATCTCCTTCCAGGATAAAACCGCAACGTGCAAGGTCTAGAGCGGTAGAACCGTGCACCGACGAACGAGAACGACGAGAAGTTACCACCGGAGAAGATGATCGGAAACGGGAGAGTGTCGGAAGCTGTTGGTAATTCAGAGATGTGTTTTCGTATCTCAACCAACCTCTCCTTAAATAGGAGTAAGTTTGGCTCTTTGATGGATTGGACGGATATACCGAAGAGTCGCGAGTGACTCTTCGGTCTCAACGAACTAAATGCATTCTCCTTGGATAACACTTCGTTAATCACGAAGTGTCCACGCGTGTTGAATTCGGTATCCTAAAAAGATAGCCACACTGTTCCTCGCCCTGATGCGCGCAGAGATCCTTTCTTGTTCCCTCCATAAATACAATTAAATGCCTAAGTTTAAATATGGGAATACGAAAGGTTCAAGTTCCGGTGTGGGATAAGGGTTCTACTTTTTCACGTGTTTGACTTTGTGAATTAATTTCTCATTCACCCAAGCACCATTTTTGACGTATAATATTTCGAAAGACTCATCTCACTTACGAGACTAAACATCCATAATTAATTCAGAAAATAATTTTGTCGATCCTACCAAATTTATGTGCGAAAAATGTCCAGTTTAAACTAAAAATTCCAACATACTGAGTATGATGTTTGACTTATTTGTCACATATCACCAAGTGAGTCTAATAATGCATGATACTCTAGATAATGCGTTGTTCAATGCCTCAACGATTATGATTAAAGTGGCCTACTCGAGACATGACGAATTGACGATGTTACGAGAGTCCCAAATCTTACTTCCTCCGTCCATAAATATTTGCCATACTTGTATTCTAAATACAAAATATCAAATTTTTTAATTTATTTTATTTACATATTGATATAGAAATAAAAAATAAAATTTACATATAAAAAACTACATGAAAAGTTTTTCGAAATAAGAGGAGTCAAGAATATTTTATTTTATCAAATAACCAATGAAAACGTATAAATAAAAAAAAATTCTCGCGACTCCTGAAAAAGCAAACGTTGCAAATAATTTGGGACGAGGGAGTATATATTAAGCGAGATTTCCAAAGGGCACGGTATTGGACAACTAACAATGACCTATTTCTGCCCGGACTTAGATGACAATCCCCTTATTCGTCAAAAATGTCTCAAGAAATCTCATATATCAGTCTTGACTGGTTGATTTATATAGATTTTATACCCGGCCAATTAGACCGACCTGATGGTGATTTAATTTGTTTACTACAACAAAAATGCTTTATCTTTTTCAAAGAAAAATTTGTATTTAAGCAAATTCATTCCTTCATTTCTTGAAATTGTACGTAACCTTATGTAACATGTTCCATGTTTAATAAAATGGCATTACATACCTCGTGTTTGGATTTTTTCATGTAATCTCTAATGCTAAAAATGTTACTTGTAAATTTATACATTTGGCTCTTTATATGTATGTTATGATATTTCTGCGGCATGTTACTCATTTTGAATTAGGCAAAAGTACCGTAGAACTTTTTGTACTATCTAAAAGTATTCAAGTTAATCCTTGCACTTAAAATTGAAATAATTTAGTCCCTATACTACTTATTTTGTTCAATCAAGCTTAGTCGTGCTCTTTACCTGTCTCTTATATATTATCTCAAATTTTTAATGATGACGTCAAGTTTTACTATATATGAAATGGAAATATTGTTTAACATATTAATTCATACATTTAATCTAATTTTAGTCATTATATAATAACTATTTTTATCTCTATTTAATTAATAATAAACAAAGATTAAAAAATGTAAGTTTTTTAAATTAACATGTTAATTCAGTAGTTTCATGTTATCTATAATAAAATCGGATGTCAACATCAAAAATTTAGGGTAGTAGTATAAAATAGACAAGTGAAGACAATGACCCGTTCGCATAAAATAAATGGTACAAGGATTAAATTGAATCGATTTTGAGAACAAAGACTAATTACTTTGTAATAGGGTTAATCAAAATAAAATTTGCACTAAATAAGACTAAAACATAATGACTTTCCTAATGTAGGACTTAAACTTTTTTATTCTCTAAATAAGACTTAATAATGATCTAGTGGGAGGAATAATGTCCAGTAATGATGGACATTTAGTTGAATAATGACTACTTGATAATGACTAAAAGTCCTACATTTGAAAATAAAAACATATAGTCCTATATTGGAAAAGTCATTATGTTTTAGTCCTATTTAATAAATTTCTCTTAATCAAATTCATAACTCATAGGGTTAATCATATTCATAACTCATACTCCGTAATAATAGGATTGAAATGAGGTAATGCAATCATAATGATGAGTCACGTAAAATTCATTCATTCAACGTTCAAAGTCACAACTTTAAGTGCAATATATCTGGCAGTTACTTTTAGGTTGTACTTTTCCGTCCCGAACGTCCTTGAAAAAAAAATAATCCATCCTCAACCATTTTTCCATTTTAGCTTTTAAAAGTCAAATTAAACTATACCAACAAGTTAAATAAAATTTTATTGTACATTAAAAATGATTTATTCAATTCATTTCGTGCAAATTTTTTATAAATTCCCTCCGTATTTCATTAAATTAATATATAACTTAAATTTAATAATTAACAATTAAAATTTATCAAGTTTAAATAAAAAAGTTAAACTAAAAAAATACTCGGTACTCATCAATCCGGATAGTATTTGGGGAATTGAAAGGAAAAAATAAGTGGAGTAATAGAACTTTAATTCCCATTGATATCTTTAAAAAAATGAAGAAGACCTTGTTTTTCCCAACAACCTAACATAACTTTAATTTTTAATTTTTTCCAACAACGACTTAAAAAATGATTCATATATGTTAAATATACAATTACATTATATATCTAAATTTATAACATACTATCTCAAGTATAGATAATAATAAATAATTCTTTTTTATCCAAAATTAGTGTTTTCTTACACATTTATTTGGGTGATCAAATCATTTAATTGAGCAAACACTTTCAAACTGTGCCTTAAGTTATATACCACTTATCTTTTCACAACATATTTTTATGCAAAATCCAATTTTTGAACTCTAGATAAGAATGCGCAGTGGAGGAAGGGGTGATGCACAACACTATATTCCATCTTGAACGTTCTCTGGGAAAAATAATTTGGCCTCACCTATTTTTGCTTCAAATAAAAAAAAAACTGATGAACAGTAAAATAAAAATTATTGTATACCCTAATTGTATATTGAAAAATTAATTTTATTCATTTTATCTTATTCATTATATTAATATGTAACATAAAATTTAATTATTGACAATTAAACTTTATCAAATTTGAGTAAAAGAAGTTAAACTAGAAGAATACTACGGAGTAATTAATTGAAGTATTTAGATTTTAGAGAAAGGAAAAGAAATACTCCCTCCGTCCCAGAGTATTTGTCCACTTTCATTTTTACACACCATCCAATACACTTCTTTAATCCATTTTATCTTGTAATTTGTATATTAAAAAATTATAGAAATTTTATATTAATAATCTATATGTTAAGACAAATCAAACAAGATCACACATGACTATATTTAGGCTTACACATTGAGAGAATCTGATGAGTCAAAGTGCTTAGATGAACAGTTCCAAAAGTCAAAACTGGACGAATACTCCGGGACGGAGGTAGTAGCAAAAAAAGAAGTGGAGTAGTAGAACTTTAATTTCCATTGGTTTCTTAAAAAACGAACCACATTGGTTTCTTACTTTCTTTAGTTATAGATTCCAAAGAAAATTTAGAGGATAGTGGTATTTATCAAAATAAAAACTCGTTCGTCAAATGAGCATTTAGATAATCATAAATAATACACCGTACATTCAATTGTACGACAAGTTACTCGTTCGTCAAATGAGCATTTAGATAATCATAAATAATACACCGTACAATACATTCAGCTAATTCTCCATACCCTTATGATTATTTATAGCAATGTTAGAGGCACGCCAAGTTACACCTCAAGTTGTATGCTATTCATCTTTCCGCTATATATTTGTTGGGTAATGCTAGAGTGCCACTACATGGGTGTAACCATGGGTGCACCCATGTTTCGCACAGACGTCAATGGTCTGTGTAAAACATGGGTGCACTCGTGTGGTAACACCCTAGCATTATTTTATATTTTTATTCATGATCCAATTTTTAAATTCTAGATAAGAATGTACGGTGGGGGAAGAGACTATGTATAACTTGAGGTAAAATGATCTTCACAGACGCTATTCACATGGTCAAACTATAATCACTTTGTTTTTCTATTTTCGTTAGTTATTTGATAAAATATTATAGTCACGTCACCTCTTGTTTTGTAGATATTTTTATGTAATTTTGAAATATATAATTTTTATTTTTAAATTTTACATTTATAATCAAATAAATTAAATAGAAAATAATTTTAATCAAATCTCGTAAACCAAACAAAAAAGATAATTTTAGAAAGGAAAAGATTTTTGTTTTTCATTTTTGAGAGGTCCTAGTCGCCCTTCATATTTCAAATCATCTTGCACGCCATTAGTTTAATGACTGTATTATTTGAAAGAAAACCATAAATCCATCGCTCTCTCCGCTCTCTTCTCCATAGCACAAAACGATAACATATACACACCCATATATTTATATTGTCATTGTGTATATCTTCCCTCTTATAGAATTCAGTCCATTCAGAGAGATATAGAGAGAGAGAGAGATTGGAAATTCGGAATCGTTCCAATTCCAGAAAAAGTAATTGAACAAAAAGAGGGAAATTTCCGCCCAATTTCGTGTTTCCGAGTGAGATAAAGGTGGAAAGTTGCGAGCTTTGGTGGAGAAAAGTGGCGAATTTGGTGCGGCGGAGGGAGAATCGGAGGAGGGCGGATGTTGAGGCGTTTGTGTGGTGGGTAAATGCCTCTGAAGAAATCTGAAGGTCAGATCGGAAAAGAAAGCAGCGGCGTCTCTTCCGATTTCAGCCCCAATTTGCTTAATTCGCTTCACCAGAAGCATCCGCAGCACATTTCCGGCATCGGAGAACAAGGCGTAGTCTTCTTCGGCGGAGGCGGCGGCTGCCCTTCTTCCCGGGCTTCTTGTACTTCTTCTCCGGTGAACGCTGATCATACGACCCTTCAAATCCTCATCAATGATGGTTATGATAATCCGGTCGTCCCCGCCGCCGCGAATGGCAAGACCACGCCTCACAAGAGACCCCTTTCGGGAGTTTCCTCCTCGAATACCCCATCTGGTCCTTCTCCGAGCTCGATCTTCATAAAATCGCCTCCCGTGTGGAACGATTCCCTGCACAAAACCCAGTTTTCCTCCGCTCCGGGGAAGGGACAAAGCTCATCATTTAGACTCATGGGCGTCCAGGCTTACCACCAGCTCAGCCACCTGCGCAGGGTGGTCAGAATCCACCTCCGCCTCATCCTCCTCCTCTCTTTGCCGTTTTTCTATTTCCTTGTTTCTCACCCAACAAACTCCTTTTTCCTTGATTTCCTCTCGGCTTTTGCCTTCTCGTCAGCCCTTTTGTTCTCCCTGAATCTGGCCCTTCCCAGATTGCCTTCCATCCGGTCGTTCCTCTCCCGGTCTTTGCCAATCAAGCTACCATTGTCTGGCCAAGTGTCTAGGAGCCCTTTACCCGCCGTGTTCTGGTCGATCGGATCCAACAAACTTGAGAAAAGATTCAATTCTGGGAACTTTGTGCAGGCGTATAGGAATGGGGATGTGTATGAGGGCGAGTTCCACAAGGGGAAATGCAGTGGGAGTGGGGTGTACTATTACTATATGAGTGGAAGGTATGAAGGCGATTGGGTTGAGGGTAAATATGATGGGCATGGGGTTGAGACATGGGCAAGAGGGAGCCGGTACAGGGGGCAATATAGGCAAGGACTGAGGCATGGTTTTGGGGTTTATAGGTTTTACACCGGGGATGTTTACGCAGGAGAATGGTCTAATGGGCAGAGCCATGGGTGTGGGGTCCATACCTGCGACGATGGTAGCCGATACGTGGGCGAATTCAAATGGGGTGTCAAACATGGCCTTGGCCACTACCATTTCAGGTATATACATATTACATACAGACATACTAATATGCTTTGTTTGACAGTCATATGTGAACATGGTGCAAGGATTTGCCTTGTTTGTGTATAGATATAGTTGTTTGGATCATTGATGATCATCCGTGAGGACCGTGATTGCTTTGAGGGTACCTTTGGAAAGTGAGAATCCTGGCTTATTGTTTGAGTCATATAACGCTGAATGAGGGAAAATTGGAACGATCACACTGCTAAAAGGAATATATATACAAGGGAAGACTATGAAAATATGTTTATGATTCTAATCTTTTATTTGGAAAAATAGCAGACAAGGAATCACTAGTCTTGCAATGTGTTTTTAAATATTTTCCTATTCAAATCATTCACTTGAAGATTCTTCCTTTTTTAGCACATGGTAGATTTTTTTTTCCCATCTAAGCACAATAAATAATTAAATTATGGCTTTTCTTATTGTTTGAGTCATATTAAGCAGATTTTCTTACTCTCTCTACCTGATCACACTGCTTTAAGGAATTCATAAGGGATCATTATAAAAAATTGTTTATGATTCCAGCCTTTAATAGGGAAATTAGCAAGTGTGGAATCACCACTCTTGGAATAGGGAGTATGTTTTAGCAAATACAGAGTAGTAGGTTTTTCCCCATCTAATAAAAGTAAATAATTACGACACCAGGGCTGTAACGTTTCTCTGTTGGATCTGGAATCGGGTCCTACCATCAACCCACCCCACAAACCTAACCCCCAACCCCTAGCATT